GCGGCCTTCCGGGGGCGGCCTGTTTGCGATGGGCACAGCGCAAATATTTACCGAGAGGCTGAAAGGGCCCTTGTCTGTGCCAGCACCACGTCCGGGCTCTGCGCGGTCGTTCCCTCTGTCCCTTGCCCAGGAGCCCCTTTGCCAGCGGCACACACACCCCTTCCCTGGAATTAACATCCCTGTGGAGGCAGCAGCCCCTGCCTCGGGGTCACTTTACATCCGAGCCCTCAGGAGGGTGCACAGCCCGTGTCTCCTGCTCCTCTGAATGGATCTGGCAGGTCTAGGAGCTGGGAATTGGCTGCTTTCCAGCTCGTTTTATCTTTTATCTTGCTGCTTTGGTAGTTTTCTTCCTTTTTGTGCAGTCTTTTCTGTCTGTTAAACCACATTTGTCACCTGCCGTAATGTCTAAAGGCTGAGCACTGATGTGCATCCTGCAAGCATTGCTTGTAGATCCCTGTGTTTCTTCTGTTGCCTTAGCTGGGCTTGGAGCTCAGGATGTCAGCTCTGATGCTCAAAGCTGTTACCCAAACCCTGTAGTGTTTTCCTCCTACAAGACTGCTCTGTGGATGTGCAGAGGTTGTGTTCTGTCCTCCAGCCAGCTCTGCTCCTCCAGGCACCACTGGCTCTGCTTGAGGTGGGACCCGACATGAAGGGCAACCACAGCTGGGCACCCTGCCCAGCCACGCAGGGCACAGCACACTCAGCCACTGTCTGAGTTGCAAGTGACAAAGGGAAGGATTTAAGGAATAAACCTGTTAAGGACTTTTCTCAAGGCTGCAGAATAAGGCAGCCTTTAAAAACAGGGTTCTGAGTACCCTGCTTTGGCACTGGGTGCTTACCAGGATGCCTGTCAGCTGCTCTTTGTTAGCCAGGCTTCACTCTGCTCATCCATTCCCCTTCCTGGTGGCTGCTTCAGTCTCACAGTTCTACATCTGCAGGGAACCTTCTCCAGAGCTGGGCAAGCAAGGTGCTCACTGCCCCAGTGAGGACACCTGCTTGCATCACTGCAGAGCAGTGCCAGGTGTGTTGCAAGGCAGCACTGAGGGTCCTGACCCGTGGAGCTGCAGGGCTCCTGCTCAAGCCCTCTCTGCCCTCTGATGAAACCACACATATTTGCCAGGGGGAAACATGACATAACTCTTTGTGCTGCTGTGGGCTGAAAATACTGGCTGATCTTGAACTGTGTTAATAAATGACCTGGGAGGGAGGGGGAAGGTTGCTTTAGAGCATGGCTTTGTTGACATAATTCTTGGGAGAGAGGGCATGAAATACTGAGTGGAGGAAGACTCAAGCAGATTGCAAGCACCATATTCTGTACGAGCACAAACTGATGAAGCTCATAGTTGGACTTCTGAGACCAAACAGGGTTTAAAGAAAAACAAATTGAGTCAATTATTTTTTGTTGTTGTTCCTTTTCCCTCCCCTTGCAGAGTAGATTGTGCTGCGCCAAGTAGTGTCACCTCATCCTGTCTCTTGGGGAGTCAAGGAGAGTCACAGAATCATAAAGGTTGGGAAAGACCTTCAAGATCATCAAGATCTTGAAGATCAAGAGACTTTTTCCCAGGTTCTGTTGTCGAAAAGCATCTTCTTGTCCCCCCATCATTTTTTCTTTAGGTTGTGTTGCATTTTCCCTTAAGCTGCTCCCTGGTGTCACAGCAAACACAACATCCAATTCTTTAATCCATGTCTAATTTCCCCCCATCACACTTTCTCTTGTCTGCCTCATTCTTGGGAGGCTGCAAGGATTCTGTTCCTCTGGTTCTGCAGTGACCTGCAGCCTGTTCAGTGTTTGCAGAACAGATGCAAACAGTTAATGGAGTCTGCTCTAATTATGTCTCTTTGGTGGATGAGGGACCTGTACCAGCACATACAGCTAGGAATTGCTGATGCCCTATGGATTTTTTTTTCCTGATGATCTTTTAGCTGAACGTGTCAGCAGACTGAAGCAATTGTTTTGTGCTCTCTGTCCCAGGAGAAAGGTTGGAGCTGTGGAGAAACTGAGTGAGGAGTGTGATTAAAGAACTGATGATGATTAAGAAGTGTCTCTGTGAACCATGGGCAGATAAGGGATAGAACAG